AAATATTGGGGGGGGGGGGAAAGCCCTGACCCCGTACTTCTCCTTTAAGATACAATGAGGTCCTCCAGCCTTGTGACCAGTTCTGCCCAATTCTCTGGCGGGAAAGAGTCAGGAGTACGAATGGCAGTAACAAGCATGGCTAGAAGAATACGTACTTCAGAGCAGTGGCGGACCTAATAACCAAAGGGCCCTGGTGCAAGATTTTATCCTGGGCCCCCCTCCCAAGCTGGGGGAGGGGGTGCGCAGGAGCGGATCACACTGGCCCCCGCACCCCCCCCAGCGGTCTCTAATGTTGCAGTAGCGTGCTGGACTTACCTGAGACCCCGCAGAGCACACCATAGATCCTGCATAGACTCCTGAGACTCTCTATGGTGGGCTCTGCAGGGTCCCAGATGGGCTGGTCTGGTCGCCGGGGTCCCTTTCCCCGTACCTCCTCCCAACTCTTCTTACCTGCTGCTGGGGCCCGGCCTCCTCCACCCCCTCCCCTGTCACCTCTGCCATGCCGCTCCGGTACAGTTGATACCCATGAGGCTGTCCAGACCCCTCACATGGGTACCGGCTATACCCCCCTGATGGCGGTGTTCTATCAAAGATTGTGACTACGTTAGAATGTGTGACCGGTGACGTGGTCACACGTTTGAACGTAATCCCACCCAGTTTTTCGGCGGTGGAACAGCTGATCGGTCTTGAAATGTCACTTCTCTCCCACTGCGATCTCACATTCCACCGCACTCACCGGAACAGCTGAGAAAGCGTTGGAATCCTTCACTCTCCTGTGACTCACCTCCCCTCCCGCCGCCTGTTACTATGGACGCGGCTGGGAGGGGAGTCACAGGACCCGCCCCCTCACTGGGAACCCCCGTCGGCAGTGCGAGGCCCCCGATGTTCTAACACCGGGACCCTGCACTGCCCCATATTCCAGGACCGGACCCCACTGGGCCCCCCCACAGCCTCAGGCCCCTGTGCGCCGGCACCGGCGGTAGTCCCGCCACTGCTTTGGAGACATTCTATCCTCCGGAGCCACATCCTTCTATAACGCAGACAAGAGATGGGGGCCAATGTTACACCTCCCGGCGTGTACAGAGCCAGGCCGAGGACACCACACACGTGATCAGGAAGAAGCAGCAAATATCTATCTCTAGGGTCCCAGCATGCCGAGCCGTCCACTCTGCCCAACTCTAACGGGCCCATTGACCCAAAACATACGGTTCTGTGGGGTTTACAAGTGGTGAGATCCCTGCTCTTGGGTTCCAAGGTCTACCAGCCGTCCACTCCCGGGGGCCCCCATCATTCCCGCTGGACTAGGAGAAGGTGAAGGAAACATCTCCCCTATATGTGAGCGATATAAGAAGCCAACTCCTCCCACTGGCCTCCATCTTCCCTTCAATCATTCGCCGTTCTCTCTCTATTGACATTTATGACGCGCTCTTACCTCTTCTTATTATAGGACCTCCAGGCCTGCCGGGTCCTCCTGGCCCGATTGGGAAGACTGGGCCCCCTGGGCCACAAGGACCCCCTGGGCCTCATGGAAAAGATGGGGCTGCTGGAAGACAAGGGCCCATAGGGCCACCAGGTGAGAGCAGCTCTCATGGACTCGCACATACATAATATTATGGGTTTGATATGATTGGTGCATTCCTATTGTCATTATGCCCCGCCCCCGCTGACCACGCTGACCAGTATTATAGGATCTGGCTGTCTGCTCTATGGACTCCATTGTGTTCTGTCTTCTCCTGACCTGGGTCAGCTCCAGAACACAGACTATGGAGACACCCCATGCAGCTTTTCCTGTCCATCTCATCTGAGAGCAGCATGGAGGATGGATAGAGCCGAGCCCGGCCAGCCCCCGAGGAGCGGGAACAATGATAGGAACTGTGGTGGACCCACAAAGACAAACCATTGTATATGTAACCCCGGAGGGGGAGGGGTGTCATCCAGTCTGTCCCTCCCATGATGTGTATGATATGGCGGGGGCAATTACCATGTATTATTGCGTGTGCATGTGCGTGTGCGTGTGATATTGTGGCAGGACGAGGGTTAGAAGTATAATTTGATTTCCTGTTTTCTTGTTTTAGGGCTTCGCGGGGAACAAGGTGAGACATTTCCAGCCGATTGTCATTGTATGGCCCGATCCACTGAGAGACGTCTACAGTTTGTCTTGCTGGTCCCGTGTACGGATCTTGCTGGTCCCGTGTACGGATCTTGCTGGTCCTGTCTAT